ACCGTCCAGGTGCTCTTTCCTCCTCAAACCTCCATCACCGTCCAGGTGCTCTTTCCTCCTCAAACCTCCATCACCGTCCAGGTGCTCTTTCCTCCTCAAACCTCCATCACCGTCCAGGTGCTCTTTCCTCCTCAAACCTCCATCACCGTCCAGGTGCTCTTTCCTCCTCAAACCTCCATCACCGTCCAGGTGCTCTTTCCTCCTCAAACCTCCATCACCGTCCTGGTGCTCTTTCCTCCTCAAACCTCCATCACCGTCCAGGTGCTCTTTCCTCCTCAAACCTCCATCACCGTCCAGGTGCTCTTTCCTCCTCAAACCTCCATCACCGTCCTGGTGCTCTTTCCTCCTCAAACCTCCATCACCGTCCTGGTGCTCTTTCCTCCTCAAACCTCCATCACCGTCCAGGTGCTCTTTCCTCCTCAGACCTCCATCACTGTCCAAGTGCTCCTGACCAACCCCCTCCGTGGGTTTGATCAACTTGTTAGAGCTGCTCCCAGAGCTCAGGAAAACAGTTTACTCACGAGATTAGGGGTTTACTATAAGAGGGTAGAACTCACGAACAGCCAGACGGAAGAGGGGCCCAGGGCCAGGTATGGGCAATAGGCACAGAGCTTCAGTGTCCTCTCCAGGCCTGGGAAGCTGCCCGAGTCCTGGGAACATTAGGATTCTGGTGAAGCAAAGGCAAGCCCTTCCCTTACCTTGAGGCAGATGGGTCCAAATGTTCAAGCACAATTCTTTGAGAGGAGGTTCGAATTACTCTTTCTGGCATCAGCAATAAGAACAGAAGTGAGGGGCAGGCTTGTGACAACAGGCAGGCCATTTAATACACCCCAGTGCTCTTGCTTTCCTAGATCAAAGCACCATCTTCTTCCGATAGAAAGCCTTCTGGTTGGAATTTTTTCTTTGTTGCACATTTCTGCAAAAGTTGATTCTGACAATGTTTGCCAGCTCATCCGTTACTTCTGGGGACAGAGGGAGCCTGGAGTTTCATTCAGTCATGCCACCATTTGTTTTGTTTGCGGCAAAAAGCTTAATTGTTTCCATTTGGTCCACGGGGCTTGGGAGAGGGCTCCAGGGTGGTTAAAAAGCTGTCTCGTGGCTGCAGGGAGAGGCTGAGGCACAAACTCTGGCACCAGGGGGCTGTCAGAGGGGCCCCCTCAAAGGCTGCTGGTCTCCACCTAGTCGTGCTTGAGAGTGAGCCTCTCGAAGAGATGCTCGCCCAGTCCAGCCTGGGGGCCGGCCAGCCTGCGGAGGTTAGTCAGGTGGTCGCCCATCTTCTTGATGAGTTTCACCTCCTCATCTAGGAAGTGGTTCTCCAGGAAGTCACAGAGCTGAGTGACAGAAGAGGAGAAAACGTTGGCCATTTACGCATCCACAGTGTGACAGATGGGGAAACGAGGCTCAAAGGGAAATTTGCCCATTTAAATGTGGATGAAAGGAGTACTTACATGGGGGTCTGCACGGGCAGAACCCAGGGCATGCAGATCCAAAAGGGCCTGGTTCAGGCTCTTCTCCAGGACCACAGTGCCCCATTTCATTGGAACTCAGCTACGCCCTGTGTTTACATACTGCTGATCCAACCAGGGCAGGATGGAGTGGTTGCCCAGAGACTGCACAGCTTACAAAGAGTAAAAGATGTACTATCTGGACATTTATAGTAAAAAATAAATGGCCATTTCTGAGGCGGATTCACATTTTGTCATGTACATGGAAAGCTATAAAACTTCAGAAATATAACACAGAAAAATCCACTTTAGAGTAAATATTAAGTGAGGATGACACAAAATTGGTCTCAGCTGGAAGAGGAAACCTGCATTCATTCAGAGCCACAAGGTGTTGTATTGAAAAAAGGGAGACTAGAGAGAGGAGGGCTTATATTGCAATTTGGTTGAAACTACAATTTTTTTTAAGATTTTATTTATTTGACAGAGAGAGACACAGCGAGAGAGGGAACACAAGCAGGGGGAGTGGGAGAGGGAGAAGCAGGCTTCCCGTGGAGCAGGGAGCCCAGTGCAGGGCTCGATCCCAGGACCCTGGGATCACAACCTGAGCCGAAGGCAGACGCTTAACAACTGAGCCACCCAGGCGCCCCTACCAGGTGGATCTTTAAGTCAAGATTTGCCAGTGGGTTTTTCGTAGTTCTTGTCTCTAGATCACCTGCCTCAAGAACACTCAGGACACTAACACAGATCACAGGTTCCTGGATAAACGTAATGAGAATTTCTTTTGTGGAACCTGAATTTCCCATTTATCAAAGCACTGCTGGTGATTGTAGGACTCACGTTTCCAACTGCTCTTGGCTTTCTCCAACATGCTGAGCAAGCCCAGGGACAGAGGAGCCTGGGGACTCACTGAGACTTGGAAGCTAATGGCTGTATCATATTGTTATTCTGCAGTCCCTGATGGGGGCTCTGGAGGTGTTATTTCTGTTTCAAAGGAATCCTCATTAAAGCAACCTGGGGAGCCCCAAGTTGAAGAACCCGCACGGGTAAAGAGTCTCTTGATTTCCCTCCATCTTTTCCTGGGTTTGGGGCCCCCGACCAGGAGGCAGCCTGGACAGTCCTATCACACTGCCTGTTAGGAATATGGCCCTGGCAAGACAGAGAAGCTCTCCTGAGACAGAATCTCACAGGGAGAAAGGGGACATCTGGTTTGCTCCCCGCCCCCCCCCCCGGGAAATCCCACACTGAAGAGAATGTGAAAGTTGAAATGACATGGTGTCACTTATGCCCAGTGGTTTTCAAGTGGAGCCAGGAGGTCATTCAGGAGGCGGGCCTTATGCCTGTCCTCACCTGGTGGAACCATGAACTTTGAATGGGCCAACCCACAAATATCTCAAGGACTATGCACGAACACACCTGCAAGTTCTTACAGTAATGGACTTTAGCAACCAGTTATGGTAAGCCAAGATTCGTTTTCTGCCATCGACACCAATCAAAATTCTTTGTAAGCAACGTATTCAAGCATTCACTTTTGTCCTTAAAAACCCCTGACTTCTGCTCCCTAGTGAGACACTCTTTGGGTTGCCACCCACATCTCTGTACCCTGCATTGCAATTCTTTGATCCCAAATAAATGCTTTTGCTTCGATATTGTCTCCTGACAATTTTAGGTTGACAAGTGTCATTTGCTCTTTTTGATTCAGGACAGAGTGTTCCCCAAAACAGTTTCATGTAGTGTTCTCTCTGTGCTCTACCTCCAGCTTCCTAACCTTTGCTGTGCATTACAAATAACCACAAAAGGGGGCGCCTGGGTGGCTCAGTCGGTCAAGCATCAAGCATCGGACTCTTAATTTCAGCTCAGGTCATGTTCTCAGGGTTGTGGGATCAAGCCCCGCTTAGGGCTCCACGCTCAGTGGGGAATCTGCTTGGAATTCTCTCTCCCTCTCCCTCTGCCCCTCCCCCTGCTCACTCTCTGTTCTCTCTCTCTCTCTCCCTAAAATAAAATCTTTAAAAAACAAACAAACAAAAACCCCCAAACCACCACAGAGGGTTTGACACTCAACTTCCACACAGGCAAGGAAACAGTTTCCACCTCCTGTGTCCCCTTTACTGTCACACGGAGTCCTTCTGACACTTTTGCACTCCCCCCCCCCCAACCCCACCGCACCAACAAGCAAGCCTCCAACCAGCTGGGTGTCCAAGAATTCAACTCAATTCTGCCACCGTCTACCCCAAGACACATCAGGTCCCACGGGTGAGGGCTCAAGTCCCCACGAGAAGCCCCCCCACACACACACATTTTGGGCTTCTGAGCGACCAGCTATAGATCAGAGGTTCCAACAACCCCCTCTTTGAGTTTGATTAATTTGCTAGAGCAGCTCACAGAACTCAGGGAAACACTCACGTTTATCAGTCTCTTAAAGGACTGAGGTGTGTCCCTCTCCTGGTGTGGATGTGTTCGTCAGCCTGGAAGCTCTCCAAATGCCCTGCTACTGGGATCTTATGGAGGCTTCCTCTCGTGGGCATAATTGACCATTGGCTCCATTTCCAGCCCCTCCCCTCTCTAGAGAAGGGGGATGGGGGTGGGTCTGCGAGTTCCCAAGCTTCTGATCATGGCTTGGTCTTTCTGATGACCAGCCCCACCCAGGAGCCCACCCAGAGTTGTCTCATTAGCACAAGAGATGCTCCCAGGGCCCTCATCACTTAAGAAATTGCAGGGATTTTAGGAGCTCTGTATCAGGAACCAGGGGCAGAGACCTATATTTATATTTTTTCTATTATCTCATGCCACGTTTCAAACCAAACCCAACAAATGAATATCCCTGGAGGGTAGGAACCACTCGTTATGGTATTTAAAGCTCACCAGGTGATTCTGATGTGCAGACTGAGAACCAGTCTCTTTTTGCACTTATCACACTTCAACCTGCATATGAAACACCTGGAATTATTATTAAGAACCCCCAGATACTGGTTCAGTAGGGCTGGCTTGTGCCTGAGAGTCTGTATTTCTTAAAAGTTACAGATCCGGGCACCTGGGTGGCTCAGTTGGTTAAGCGACTGCCTTCGGCTCAGGTCATGATCCTGGAGTCCCTGGATCGAGTCCCGCATCGGGCTCCCTGCTCGGCAGGGAGTCTGCTTCTCCCTCTGACCCTCCCCTGTCTCATGCTCTCTCTCTATCTCATTCTCTCTCTCAAATAAATAAATAAAATCTTAAAAAAAAAGTTACAGATCCTTGGATTAGACTGTATGAACCTCCTCTTTACTCAGGTAAAACTGGATGAAGAAAAAATAAATGGACCCGAGGTAATAAGGAGGAATAAAAAAAGCCGTAATACATGTTCTGTTTCAGAGAATTTTATTAATCCTGAAAGTAATCAACCATAACACTGCAATGGTTTTTTAATAACAAAATGTAAAGGTTAAAAGAACATCCCCCATTCCCCAAGGCAAAGAGAATTCCCACTGAAACACTCCCTCAAAGTGGAAAATTCTACACCCAGGAGGGGGCACTGTTCCAGGGGTGCAGCGCTTCTCCACAATCATCTCCCAGTTACCCAAGTTTTCGTTGTTTGCCCACCCACACAGACGAATTTCATAGCTTTCTATTATTAGGGTATAACACGGCTTCCCCATGTTGACTCAGTTTCTTAAACACCTGATTTACAAAGGACAACAAGTGACAACTTCATAAGCTCCATTTTAAATACAACTTAAAGGCACAAAATTTAAAGGCGGTGTCTGCCTGGTGACCCCCAGTGTCACCTCCACAGGTGCCTGACTCACAGGACACAGAAAAGAGGTGCTCCTGCCTCTTTTCCCGTCTTTTAGCCACTTCCAGTGAAGGGACACTGGATGCCCAGTCTTCTCTCCACGGGGCCACCCTCAGGCATTCTCCTCGGTGGGGGAAGAGAAGATCCTCTCACTGGGACCCTGGGACCCTGTCTTTCTGACGCCTCTAAGATGTGAGGGCTCTGACCAGCAGGTGTAGACTTCTCTGGAGGGAGACAGGAGCAGTTGAAAACCTGGAGCTCCGCCATCCCGTGCCCCATCTCATGTCCCATCCTTGCCCCCACTGGCCTGGAACATGCCTGGGTGGTGGAGGTTAGGGCCGGCACAAGCCTGGACAGGGCTCAGACCAGGTGAGTTGGGTGGGGCTTGGGGGTCAAAGCTGGGCATCTGGGCTGGTGTCTTCCCGGTCACTTGGGGTATCTGTTTGGATCCAAGAGAAGTGTACTGGGGAGAAGCTGAAGAGCCCGGACAGCCCCCAGACCAGGTCACCGGGAACTCAGCTTGGGGGTTTAGAAGAGGCTGAATCTTGCTTTCTTTGGAGGGTTCTGGCAAGTCTGGAGAGCGACCTGAGGAGACGTCTTACCCGGCGCCTGGATGCCGAGTTTGGCCTTCTGGCCACATTTTCCCACGATAGGCTGCGGGTGGGGCCTCGAGGCCACGGGAGGATGCTTGGCTTCTGTCTGGGCCAGTGTCTTCCTGGAAGGCTGGGGAACATCAGGGGAGACAACGTCAGGCCTCCTGGCTGTCAACTTGGCAATGAGAGGCGGGTCCTGGCAGGAGCTTTTTAGAGCTTGGCAGGGCAAGTCCACCCCACACCTTTGGGCTGGTTCACAGGCACGCACTTCCGGGGCTTTACTGAGAGGCAGTGTAGACCGCATGTCAGGTGTCACGACTGGTGGCTGACCTGTGGGGACGGGGCCCAGGACAGATGGCTTAGTATTTGTTTGGACGGGCAGTGGCCTGGTGGGGCGCTGTGGGAGAAGGAAACTCGTGTTAGACCCTCAGGACTCACAACTCAACCATCCGTCACACAGGACTGACGCACTCAGCCCTATCACAGTAGAAACTGGAAATCAGAAGCAACGGAGGACAAAGGTAAAACAGCAGACTCAGATAATAAATAGGGGGAAGTACGTAATACTCAGGATTTTCTCTACATCAGAAGGAAAAAAAGGAGCAACCCAATTTAAGCAGACAGCACATACAAAACTAAACGTCACAGCAAAAGACGTGCAAACAGTCATCACACATTTGCAGAGATACGCTCCTCAGAGGTGGGGGGGGACAATTACAATACCCGTCTAGTTTTTGTTGCCTATCAGATATGACAATTAAAACTTTCCTTATGCCGTTTGTTGTTAAGATCCAGGGAGCATACAACGCGCAGAGTGTAAATGGCAACCATCCTTTTGAAGGGTAATTTGGGAGTATTTACAGAATTTTGAAAGATGCCTTGTCTTGATTTAAGATCACAGAAGGCATCTGATAGAACCCTTCGCCTGGGCACAGAGACGCCTCCACAAACACTTGCCGGCCAGACTTGCACAAAATAGAAAAAATACGTCCTTCAAATAAAGAAACTGGAATAGGAAAAATACGGAGGAGTCCTAGGCGGTCCCTCCAGGCCAGCCCGGGTTTGAATGTAACCCCGCACACCCGAGCGGCACAGAATGAAGCGGAACGCAGATGGAGGCCCGGAGCAGGGAAGCAGAGACTCACCCTCAGGTGGGCACCCACGTCCGAGGGCTCCTTCCCGGAGCTCTGCTGCTTCTGTGGCCGTCTGACGGGTGGTCTCAGTGGCCGAGCCTCCCTCTTCTGCTCTCCTGGCCTGCAGAGCAAATCATGTGAACTGTCCGGACGCCCCTGACCTTCCTGCCCACACAGAGACCGGGAACCAGGAACACTCCTGGGGCCCAGACCTTGCCCTTGTTTGGGGGAAAGGGGGGCTCCACTGCCCACGAATCGCTCTGACCCTGTGATTCCGCACCTCTGTCTTGGTTCCCTCCTGCTGTCCGTCCTGTGGAAGGACCCTGGGATCTGTAAGTCCTGAGGCCTCTTGGGTTCCAAGTTTTCATTCTTACTGGAGCCCAAGGGCTGGGGGGCAAGGTCCCATGCCCAGCACTTCACGGGGCACCTCCTGCTGCTGGCCAGGTGCCCGAAGGCCCCACAGTTCTTGCACTTCACCTGCGGACGGAGGGAGAGAGTGCTCAGTGAGACAGCAGAAATCAGGGGCGGCTTTCAGAGGTTCATGTCAGGACAGATATTTGGAGTTGGATATTCGTTTGGGGGAGAGGACACAGACCCAGTGCCCATGTTCCTGAAACACTCAAGCTCCCACTTACCCTGGTATATGCCTCTTCTGGGGAGGGATTCCTTTGCCCCACTGGTCCCCTCTGTAGCTTCTTCATGTTCTGAGCGATAAGGGGTCTTGGGGGCCGCTGGTATATGCAATCCCCTGCCAGACCCTCGGGCTTCTGGTCTTTCTCCCTCAGGGACGGATTGTTGGATTCTCTACTCACAAGAAAAGGACCAAAAAGAAAAAAAAAAAAATTATGTAGACACAGAGACAGAAGTCCCTCATACCCCTGCTTCTCTGCCTGGATTGGATGGGGGGCTCACTGATCACTAAGTACACCCACAGTGATGTGGTCTCTCATGAACTCATGTCCCATTCTGTGCCATTCTGTGACGTTTTTCCATCATTACTTACTCCCAGGATAGGACACTGCCTGAGAAAAGGCCACTTGGTCTATAAATGGTGAAATTAGATTTGCAACCTGAACGCCTGTCCAGGTCCTCCCTGAAAACATCACTGTAACTCAGGCCGGCGACCTGGGTTTTCGTCCAGCCGCTCCCTCCAAGCTTAAAGCCTCGTCCCGTATTTATCGAAACCAATAAGCAGGGGCGCCTGGGTGGCTCAGTCGGTTAAGCGACTGCCTTCGGCTCAGGTCATGATCCTGGGGTCCCGGGATCGAGTCCCACATCGGGCTCCCTGCTCGGCGGGGAGTCTGCTTCTCCCTCTGACCCTCCTCCCTCTCGTGCTCTCTGTCTCTCATTCTCTCTGTCTCAAATAAATAAATAAAATCTTTAAAAAAAAAAAAAAAAGAAACATGTTGGGCGCCTGGGGGGCTCGGTTGGTTAAGCGACTGCCTTCGGCTCAGGTCATGATCCTGGAGTCCCTGGATCGAGTCCCGCATTGGGCTCCCTGCTCGGCAGGGAGTCTGCCTCTCTCTCTGGCCCTTCCCCCTCTCATGCTCTCTCTATCTCATTCTCTCTCTCTCAAATAAATAAATAAAATCTTTAAAAAAAAAAAAAAAAGAAACATGTTGGGCGCCTGGGGGGCTCGGTTGGTTAAGCGACTGCCTTGGGCTCAGGTCATGATCCTGGAGTCCCTGGATGGAGTCCTGCATCGGGCCCCCTGCTCGGCAGGGGGTCTGCTTCTCCCTCTTACCCTCCCCCTCTCAAGCTCTCTCTCTCTCATTCTCTCAAATAACTAAATAAAATCTTTAAAACAAACAAACAAAAACCAATACGCAGGCCAACAACTAGTGATTCTTTCCCTACCGTTTCCCAGAAAACTCCGTTTCCACAGATCAAGATCTCGCCGAGAAAACCTGCCACCTCCTCTGACAAAGGTTTGCAGGGATTTGGTGCGGTGCTAACGAACACCCGTGACACTTGACACGGGACCCCCGTCACCAGGACAACAAGCGCGTTTTGCGGCAGGGGCACAAAGCCGCGCGGGGACCCGCAACCTGAGGTTGCCGCGTCAGCTCACGAGCACGGGCCAAGCTCGCAAAGAAGAGCCCGGGTCACGGAGAGGGTCACGCAGGGCAGAAGCCGCCCGGCAGCTGTGCGCCCAAGTCCGCAGCCCGCACCCGCGCCCCACAGGGAGGCCCCGCCCCCGCCCCGGCCCCGCCCCCGGGCCCGCCCCGGCCCCGCCCCGGCCCCGCCCCCGGCCCTCCCGACGTTCGTCCCACCTGTCCTCTTGGTCTTCGTGTCTCCGCACGGCTGTGGGAGGCCGGGCCCCGGAAGGCTGACGTGTCCTGCTGGAGACACAGCGCGCACTAGGGTCCTCTCCCGGCATCAGCGGAACCCGCAGCATTACCTCCAGGGCGGCAGCGACGACCCATTTCTCGGTCATCAAGTCAAGCTGACGCAGAGGAGAGAGGATCGAGGTACGGTCAGAGGTCTGCACACGGCAGGAAGCCTTAGGTCGTGGAGGATCAGAGACTCCCAGGGACGCCTGGGTGGCTCGGTCGGTTAAGCGGCTGCCTTCGGCCCGGGTCATGGTCCCGGGGTCCTGGGGTCGAGCCCCGCATCGGGCTCCCTGCTCGGCGGGGGGTCTGCTTCTCCCTCTCCCACTCGCCCTGCTTGTGTTCCCTCTCTCGCTGTGTCTCTCTCTGTCCAATAAATAAATAAAATCTTTAAAAAAAAAAAAATGACCAGGGCACCTGGGTGGCTCAGACGGTTAAGCGTCTGCCTTCGGCCCAGGTCATGATCCCAGGGTCCTGGGGTCAAGCCCCGCATCGAGCTCCTTGCTCAGTGGGGAGCCTGCTTCTCCCTCTCTCTCCCTCTCCTTGTGCTCTCTCTGTCAAATAAATAAAATCTTTTAAAAAAATTAAAAAATAAACAGACTCCCAATTCTTTGTGCGCTCTTGAACACAGCGCTGATCAGAGAGCAAAGGCTCTTCATCCAGTTCAACAGTGAGTTTGCCGACGGCCTGCACGAGGGGGAGCTGTGGGTAGAGGGAACGCCGGTGGTCCCCGGGTGGAAACCAAGGCCGCCACAGTCGCCTCTGCTTGCCATCTGATCACTGCACGTCCCTGTAATTGGCCAGCGCCCAAATATCCACGTTGCTAATCATGGGCTTTCACCCCGGGGGCATGGTCATGGGAGGAGAAGCTGGCTCAGCACTAGACCGGGAGGCCACCTCCTTCCTCCTCATGTCGCCTGCCCAACCTCTCCCACACTTACGTCTCTCTGTGGAATCCCAAGCTGCTTTAAGAATTCTTTCCCCTGTTCCATCGAGAGCCTGGTGGGGTCCATCGGGGTTGGTCCGGCCCAGGGACTCTGTTGCCCTGTGGGGGACAGAAAATGAAACCACTGAATTCTGCACATCCCTGGACTCCCCAATGCACAACGCGGCCTGCTCCCACCTCTCTGCCCGCCGCCGTCTCCCCTTTTACCTTTTGTTCAAACTACACCTACATAATCTTCTACTAGTAACACAGTACCAATTTGAATGAGAAATAAGGCAATGGATTTTTAAAAAATTTCTCCACTAGACTTAACATGTTTTATATATATGTGAAATGCAGATTCCATATTTAGGGACCTTATACTGTACCATAAAACACTTGGAAAAAGTGATCATGTAATTGGGTTCAAAAAGAAAATTCAATATATTAGAAAACTGGATATCTTACACTCTATAGTTCCCCTTTGTCATAATTAAACAAAAGTAAATATAACTACACTATTTAACTTCTTTATAAGATTAGGTATGGCCAAACTATTCACTACATTTCCAGAAATTCTGAAATCAAATTCCTTAAAATCAAAAATGAAATTCAAATGGAAATTATAGAGAAGGAAATAAAAGATCAAGCACTTTATGCCAAAACTTAGGAGCAGGGCAAAACCTGGTTCAGGGGGAAATTCCTTAGTCTAAATGGCCATATTATATACAAATATAAAATTTATAGGAAGTGTTCATCTTAAGATATTGTAGCGGGGGGCGCCTGGGTGGCTCAGTCGCTAAGCAGCTGCCTTCGGCTCAGGTCATGATCCCAGGATCCTGGGATCGAGCCCCACATCGGGCTCTCTGCTCCGCGGGAAGCCTGCTTCTCCCTCTCCCACTCCCGCTGCTTGTGTTCCCTCTCTCGCTGTGTCTCTCTCTGTCAAATAAATAAATAAAATCTTAAAAAAAAAAAATATTGTAGTGGGGGGGGAAAGAAACTGAAGCAGAAAAACAAAAGATTACAAGAGGGGGGCGCCAGGGTGGCTCAGTCGTTTAAGCATCTGCCTTTAGCTCAGTTCATGATCCCAGCCTGCTTATCCCTCTCCCCACACCCCACTCATGTGCTCTCTATCTCTCTCAAACAAATAAATGAAATCTTTAAAAAAAAAGAAGAAGAAAAAAAATGAAATTAGTTAATCAAAAACTAAATGGGATTAGGAGTACCTGGCTGGCTCAGTTAGTAGAGCATGCAACTCTTGATCTCAGGGTGGTGAATTCAAGCCCCACATTGGGGCAGAGTTTACATACATACATACATACAGAAATGGGATCTAATGGGAAAATAGAGTATAATAGGAAAATACATTATTTCTTTGGAAACAGCAATAGAACACATTACCACAGACTGTCATAAAAGGATAGTAAAATTTATCATAATAGATTATATTAGAAGAAATGCCGTATGTAATCTTGAGGCAAACATATTTGAAAATCCAGTGTAAAGTACAATTTCCTCTTCGAATTTTTTTTTTTTAAGTAAACTCTGCACCCAGTGTGGGGTTGGAACTCTCCACCTCGAGATGAAGAGCCACATACTCCAGCGACTGAGTCAGCCAGGCGCCCCTCCTTCAAACTTTAAATGACCAAAATTGAGTAGCGCGAAGCATTTCCCAAGGACAAATTAAGGTAGGATAATTCTTGCCTCTCTGTTGGACTGGGAGCTGCTCTGTTTCATTTATGGCTTCATGATCAGGGCTCTGAATTTCAACCAGCTCCAAACAAGTTCTCATGAACACACCGGCATAAAAGATAAATTAATATAAGTCACTTACACTTTTTTAAAAGCCCTGGGTCTGGGTGATCATTCTCTGCAATGATCTGAAAGGTAACACTTGTCTAAAAATTAACATTTTTGAAATAGTTTTTGAATCAGGATCTGCCCGAAGAAATTCTATTAAACGATTAATGAATCTTTAACACCTAAAATGGCCCCCGCTCCCTATTTTCTTCTATTTCTGTGAGGGGTACACAGAGGCCCCAAATAGTCGTGGAAACTAACCTGTGGTTTTGTGTCTGTTGGTGGCCACTCAGATATGTGGATCCTGGGCCAACTCCACTGGAGACAGAGGACTTTCTGGGATGACTGAGAAGGCCAGGTCTTCTGCTGGGCTTTTATACAGCTTGGAATCCCCAGGAAATCCCTTCCCACTAATGCAATCAGCCTAATCTAATCTTGTGTGAGCTCATCTTTGTGTGTGAGCTAATCTTTGCCTGCCTGCCCAGGATTGGAAAGGATATTTGCTTTATTGGAAGAAATGTTTTATTGTTTACATCCTCAGCACTTTCATTGTATCTCATGTGTATGTATCTGAAACAATACACTATAATTTGGTTTTTGCCATTCCCAGGGATTTGTAAAAGATACACATATAACTATATATTTTCTAACACTATACACAATGCTAAAAATGTTTATGCACATGTTGCTGGTGGGAGAGGTTGCGCATGCGTCGGGGCATGGGCTATGTGGGAAATC